TAAATGTATTAAAAAAAAACTCTAACTCAACATTGAAATGTAAGCAATCCAATTAACAATGGGCAGAGGACTTGAATAATTTTCCAAAGACACAGATGACCAACAGACACATGAAAAATTGCTCAACATCACTACTCATCAGGAAAACGCAAATCAAAATCACAACTAGTAAGCACCTCACACCAGTCAGAATGGCTAGTATCAAGAAGACAAGAAATAATAAGTGTTGGTATGGATATGGAGAAAAGGGAACTCTTACTCATTGTTGGTAGGAATGTAAATTCATGCAGCCACTATAAAGACTAGTAAAGAAGTTTCTCAAAAAAGTAAAAATAGAAATACAATATGATCCAGTAATTCTACTTCTGAGTATTAACCCAAAAAAAACAAAAACACTAATTCAAAAAGATATATGCACCACTATGATTATTGTGGCCTTATTCGCAATGGCTAAAATACGGAAAAAAACCAAAGTGTCCACTGATAAATGAATAAAGAAGATGTAGTATACACACATGATGAAATATTACTCAGCCATAAAAAGGAATGAAATCTTGCCATTCATGACAACACAGATGGCCCTAGAGGGTATTATGCCAGGTGAAATAAGTCAAAGAAAGACAGATACCATATGATCTCATTCAGAATTTGTGTCTAAAAACAAAAACAAAAACAGAAAAAGACTCATAAATACAGAGAACAAACTAGTGGTTGCCAGATAGAAGCATCGTGGAGGGATGGACCAACGGGTGAAGAGGATTAAGAGGAACAAACTTCCAGTTACAAAATAAGTAAGTCATAGGGATGAAAAGAACAGCAAAGGGTGTATAGTCAATAATATTATAATAATAACTTTGTAGAGTGACAGATGGTTACTACATTTATCAAGGCATTTCATAAAGTATGTAATTGTTGAATCCCTATGTTTATACCTGAAACTAATAATATTTTATGTCAACTTAAAAATTAAAAAAAAAAAAAAAGACTTGAACAGACACTTCTCCAGAAAGGGTATACAAATGGCTGTAGGTAAGCACACTAAAAAAATGTTCAACATCATTAGCCATTAGGGAAATGCAGATTAAAACCACAATGAAATACCACTTCATACCTATTAGAGTGGCTAAAACAAAAAAATACTGGCAATATCAAGTGCTGACAAGGATGTCAAGCACTTGAAGCTCTCATACATTGCTTGTGGGAATGCAAATTGATAGACTGATATTTAACTCTAGAAAGTGATTTGATATTTCCTTAAAAAGTTGAATGTACACCTATCACATAATCTAGCCATTCTACTCCCAAGTATTTACTCAAGAGTACAGAAAGCATATGTTCATGTAAAGACCTACACATAAAGGTTCATAGTTAGCTTTACTTGTAATACTCACCAATTAGAACACCACAAATATTCTTCAATGGGTTAATGGACACAGTAATAGTTCCACACAATGGAATCCTATTGTGTGGGATTCAAAGGAACATGCTATCGATAACCACAAATGGAATGACACTGAATAAAAAGGCATTACACTGAATGAAAGAAACCCACTTCAAAAAATAACACACTACATGCTTCCATTTAAATACCTTTACAAAGATCAAACTATAGAGATGGAGAACAGACCAGTGGTTGCCAAGATTTAGGGGGTGGGAAAGAATGTAGCATAAGGACACTTTCTGAGGGGATGAAACAGTTGTATGCTGGGTACACAAATCTACATATGTATTAAAACTCACAGAACTGTACAGCAAAAAAAAAAAAAAAAAGCAATTTTAATCCATGTTAATCTTTAACCAACACAAAGATACCTCGAATTTACAGTAACATCTTGCATAACTAAATTGTGTAATTAATTGTACTGAATAGTGCCATAGAAATGGGTTTTAAAGACAACGGAACACACAGTCTTCAGTATTATTTAAACCAAATTTATTTATAAAACATTTTAAAAGATGCCACAAAACTGTTTCTTCCCAAAGTTAACTGATCAATCACACACACACACAAATATATATATATATATATATATATATAGACTGTTCAACAGAAGAAAGTCAATATCCGACAGAGCCAACAGTTCTAGTCATATGGGCATCTGGCTTTTAAGATGCTGACGTTACCAAGCAGATGAATCATCAGGGCACCAGATGCATGATCTTGAAGCCATCCACAGCATGTCAACTACTGCCCGGTCTCATTTCCAGGCCCACAAACCTCCAATTCCTCAACAGGAAGCAGTCAATGAACATACAGTTTGTGTTAACTTAACTCGAGGAGTACGGTCACAAAAGGAAGAGGTCAGGGAAACCAGTCTCACTGAGAACGCCTGCGTGTTATCATGACCACCACAAAAGGTGGGTGCCTCCACAATGTGCCCGCGTCTGTCCCTAATTCTACATACCTGTTAGAACTGCTGCTCTACCCAACAGAGTGAGAGAAAGGGAGGAAGAGCTTTCAATCGCCAATGATCCAACCCAGGGCTAAGATACTATGATAAAATCATATTTAAAAACACATCTCTGCACTATTTCTGTCAAAATAGGTTAGTCTTCCATTTCCTCAAAGCATTTTTTTATGGAGTCATTTTTGCCTATTTCAAAAAAATAAAATAATAATCATTAAAAGAGTAATGCAAATGTTGCCCCATCCCACGTTCAAAGATATTCCTTTCTTTTTCAAGTATGCCCTACACAATTCAGCGCTAGCCATGCAATGGTGTAAGGTAATCAAAACTGTGTTACTTTAAAAAGTATTCTTGAGATAGGATTTTTATTTTAATGATGAAGCTACAGATAGTTTCTCTTCCTTTCTATTGTTCTCTGCTTTTCAAAGGTTCCCTCTACTGAAACATTAAAATAGTGGAGTTCCCTTTCTTCTCCTCCCAACGTAATCTGCCATAAATTATGGCTTACAACCATTACGTTTTCATTATAAACACTTCTAAGTTTGATCTAATATCCTACTATCATCATCAAAGGGGGCAGGAATAACATACATTAAACTTTCAGATTTTAGTGAAAGCTGAAACCTAAAACCGACAATGCTCTCACCAATTACTACAAAAATAATTCAAATACAAACATAAGGAGAGACTGAGTATTTTCAAATGGGAGAGACTCTTCCTTGATCTGTTTAACTTGTTTGAGAACAGTACAGAGGAACATATGAACATTTAATAAGCCTACTCTGATTATAGTATTTCAAGCCTGAGGTACATATTATGCTATTTTTTAGAAAGTGCTAACTTCTTAGGGTTCTTTATGTAGTGAAAAAATAATAAGCTAACCTATAAAGGACTGAACCTTGACTCACACACAGTGAATGCTGCTTTCTATTCAACATTAGAAGTAGAATGTGATGCCAAGTGAGCCATCATGGCCATGCTCTCCTTTCTGCTGCCTAAGATGCTATGATTTCTATTAGTCTTAGCCAGCAAAGATATTCTGCATTCAAAAGAAAATCAATACACAGAACTTCACGCACACACAAAATTTTTTTTAAAGAAAACTCATTCATTTTACATGATTTAGAGCCTTAAGTTAGAGATTTTTTTTTCAGGCTGGAATATATTAGCAATGCCTCCTAGCAAAAATGCAAGTTAGAAAATCAGGACTAAGAACGTAACTGTAAACAGCCAAATGCAGAAAGGAAAAACCAGATGCCATTTTGTGATGCTACTAAGTCAGGGGAGAAATTTCAATGGCTCCTAGGTACCTATAGCGTCAATAGCTCGAAGTGCGGGGCAGAGGAGTCCTAACCTAAGCAGTATTAGGATTGGATGAGATACTCCACAAATCTTCTACAACTAAAAAATTCTCAGTCTATAATTTTAGCATAAGAATGAGACCTTTTTAGACTTTGAGACCTTTTTGAGACCTTTTTTAGACTGTGAGCTCCTGAAAGGCGTTGTCTTCTTCATCCATGCCAGCACGGTGCCGGTACCTCAGAGATACTCAGTAAATGCTTGCAGAACAGAAAGAATGTAAAAAGAAACCGTCCTAATGAAAAGGGCCATAACCCCCAGTAGGTGTTACCCACTGTTCCCCTGGAAGCACTCCCAGGACTTCTGGTAGTGACCGTCAGCAACACCTCCTCCACTTTGGAAGGGTTTTTACCATCATCCCACAAAGGAGAACAGAATTTTCTTAAACAAAATTCACTCTTCAGCTAATTTCATAGTTGATAATAGCTTGTACAGAGAAGTCTCAGCACTGCCAATTTTTCACAGCTCATTTGTGTTAGCATCATCAACATTACCTTCAACCTAGGGTTCTTTGTAGAAATCTTTTTAAGCCAGGTGTCAATTTTGTAACTGCTGTTTTAATTAAAACTGATTAACATAACCCATAAGCCTATTGAACAAATACAGCAAGTCACAATAGGCTGACAGCAAACAAGAGAGGAAGGCTGCCCCTCCGCACCCTCTGCATCGTGCAAGTCCCACACAAGCCAGCTCCAGGAGAGCTGTGCTCCAAACAAGACACCATCTGCCACAGGACCCACACAAAGGTCCCAGCTTCAATCCCCATGTTGAATGTTAGTAAATTTTAGTTTATTTCTTAGAACAGCTTAGTAATTGCTCTACTATTTTTTTCCTGCTGTCTAACATATGTACCCATCCTGGAAAACATAAACCTAGACTCCTTCTGATAGCATTTCTGCCCTCAATTTTCTTGTTTCTTTAAGTAAACTCTATGTCCTGCCAACATGGGACTCAAACTCACGACCCTGAGATCAAGAGGCGTACATTCCACCAACTGAGTCGGCCATGTGTCCCTCAAGTTCTCATTTCAAAGAGAGACTTGTACCTCAGCCAGTTTACTTCAACTTCTACTATCCATAAGCAGTTCCTCAGTTTAGGACTTTTAAGCCAGATTCCCATGACTCCTTCTTTCAACATCCAACTTTGCTGGAGAACAGACTGGAACACAGTGCCAGGAGCAGAAAGACCAACAGATTCAGAAACACAACATCTGAGTTCAAAACCTGCCATTACCAGGACACTTGGGTGGCTCAGTGGTTGAGCATCTGCCTTTGGCTCAGGGTGTGATTCTGGTGTCTTGGGATTGAGTCCCACATCGGGTTCCTCACAGGAAGTCTGCTTCTCCCTCTGCCTGTTTTTGCCTCTCTCTGTGTGTCTCTCGTGAATAAATAAATAAAATCTAAAAATAACAAAAACAAAAACAAACCTACCATTACCAACCAGCCGTGTAACTTGGGGCAGGGGAAATGACCCTTTCTAAGACTGTTTATTTCTAAAAGGAGAAAAATTCTATTTTGTTCACCTATCTTGGTTATCATAAAAAAAGATTAAAAACTATTACAAATGATTAATAACAACTAAGAAGATTAAAAGCAATTTTATTTCTATACCTATAAATACTAACCTATATTAATTATATATTATAGTCATCTTCATTATTATATAGATGAACAGTAAATTGACCTATATGTATATGTACTTAATATAAAAATAAAGGTAATTTTGTTTGTATTTTTGATTATAAATAAATAATGATTATTTTAAAAACTAAAAGTAAACTTACTGTTTTTATTCACATTCTCTCTTAGTTAAGCACCACCTCTCACCAGCAAATAAGTTCAAAAGGCCTCTTTGTAAAGTTTCAAACCATCTACTGCTGTAATAAAGTAACTATATAATTACAGAAATACCACAAGTAGAAAATCACAAAATTTAAGTATAAAATATAAACTCAAAAGTCACCCACAATCCTACCACCCAAGGGGTAAACTCTTAATATTGTGGTATAGTTTTTAAGAGATTATGTAAAATGCTTTGTATCTTTTGTAATGTCACGTTATCCTTCGCACACTTCTCCATTTCTTTAGTGTTCCTCAAAAATCAGGTGCTTGACCATCACCATCTTCTATACATCACGGGTCACAAGTAAACCATTTTGCATACTATGTGACAGATAGGCTGCACCTAATTTTTATGTTACAAATATTACAGTGATAAACATCCCTGAACATAAATTTTTATGAATTTAAAAAAAATAGTTTTGCCACAGAAAAAGTCCTAGAAATGGTAAAGCAGGGCATAATCACCATGAAGGCTTTGGGCACATACTATAAAACTTTTTCACAAAGTCCACATAGTAAAATACCACTTAACTAAGGTAACAAACAAGATGATAATTGATTTAAAAACTGAAAAGGCTGATTTAAACAGAGAACCATAAACATTCACACACACACACACACACACACACACACACACACACACACACAGCTTAGCCCTCTAATTTGAAACACACATTCTTATATCAATTTCCTGATGATGAGTGAACATCTTTTCCATGGATAACCAGTCTTCAAACTGACTGCAGGCTAATCGTTCTTATACAAACCACAAACAAAAACCATCATCCACAACTCCCACTCTCCCTGTTTTATTAGAATGGAATACAAACTCAAAGGTTCTCAGGAAACAAGTTGAGAATCCTTACAGAAGTTTACTCCCCCCAGGGATGCCTGAGTGGCTCAGTGGTTGGGTGTCTGCCTTCAGCCCACGGTGTGATCCTGGAGTCCTGGGATCAAGTCTTGCATCAGGCTCCCTGCATGGAGCCTGCTCTTCCCTCTGCCTGTATCTCTGCCTCTCTCTGTGTCTCTCATGAGTAAATAAATAAAATTTAAAAAAAAAAAAAAAAGTTTACTCCCCCAATCCTTTACAGTTGCCATGACCATACCTAACTTCACAGCATTCTTTTTGGAGGCCTGCCTTTGGAATCTTTCAAAAGTATTTAGCATATTTTTGTAGAAAAATTATACATTTTAATTGTATTACATAAAATTTCAATTATGTAATTACACAATAACAAGTACTACTGACATAAGCAGGCTTTTGTTATAAACAAAAACAATTCTTTTTTTTAAGATTTTATTTATTTATTCATGAGAGACACAGAGAGAGAGAGAGAGAGAGAGAGAGAGAGAGAAAGGCAGAGACACAGGCAGAGGGAGAAAGCTCCATGCAGGGAGCCCCATGTGGGACTCAATCCCAGGATCATGCTCTGGGCCGAAGGCAGTCACTAAACCCCTAAGGCCACCCAGGGATCCCCTAAAACCAACTCTTGATCAATATTCAACTCAATCGGTTGACTTAGAAGGATGTGAGTCTAGAGAGTGCCTGCCCACACACGTTGGAGTCATTACGGGCACTGATGAGCTGGGCAGGAGGGAGATGGAAGTTGCCAGAGAGCTTCATCTCTCAACCCTTTGCAAGTACTCAGTACTGTGTTAAAAGGCATTTTTTAAACTTTATGTATACATGCAGGTTCAGTATACACTTACACAGACACGGGTAGTCCCTGAACTCAGAGGAAGAGCAAAAGCACATGTTAGCATTTAACAGACTTACCAAATGGAAGTCAAGAGCAGCCAACCAAGTTCTCTCTCCTACTCCCTCCTCCAACCAACCTCCAAACAGAGCCCAGGCTTAGGCCCCATCTCTTGCCCCTTTCTTTCTAAACTCAGTCATCAGTTGAGCTCATCCAGCCTCACAGCTTTAAATGTATAAAGACTATAAAATTTAAAATTCTATATGCATGTCAAAGAACAGAATGTGGATTCCTCACCTCACAGACCTGCTCCACTCACCAGACTAGTGACCACCACCACCATCCATTCAGGCCAAGAGGCTGCTGTCCTTAACTTTTCCCATTTGTAACTCCACATCCAATGTAATAGTAATTCCTAGCACCTCTTCATGTATTTATGGATTTATTCCTTCTCCTTAAAATGTAAGTGTCTAGAGGGCAGGGACCTTGCCTTATTTCTCGGACCTATCTCCAGCCCCCAAAGTAGTATCGGGTACACAGTAAGTCCTTACTAAACACTGTTGAGTGAAAAGAGTTCCTAAAAACTTATAGACTCCTTTAGGAAGTTTTCCTTGTATAATTAGAAGACCAGGAGAAAATTTTCCAACCCCTTTTGAAATCTACAATATTCATGGCTTGGGCATGACAATGGACTAGTATTCCAACACTCATTTTACAGACATGAACCTTAAAGTCCAAATAACTTTAAAGAATTTACAAGATCATCAGAGTACAGCTCCTAATGTAAATGTCTGATGATATACAAGCAACGCCACCAAACCATCACCTCTGGCATCCCTTCTCCTTTTGTTTGTACACATCTCCTGCAAGTATTTGGAGAAGAGAGTGGTTAAATCAGAGATGTTTATTTTTTCATTCTGAGGTATTTAAGAGGCTTCTTGCAATTTCCCCAATGGCACAGCCACTTGAAAAGCCCACAACTAGTCTGGAGAGTCCTGAAGCACCAGAAAACAATACACAGCAGACAGAAACTAAAAGTCTAGTTGTCTGGATTCAAATTCCCCAAGTCACTGCAGGAAGGTGTTAACTTCTCTCCACTCTTTTACAAACTCTTCCCTATTAGAATCTACTATGAATTTCCAGTACAGAGAGAGAGAGAGAGAAGCTGGGTGTCTGTAATCTGGTACTTGTCATTCGGCTTCATATATTTTGTTCCCAGGTTCTTCAAAAAATGCAGTAACATAAGCTCTACTTCCACACCCCCTACACTAGAAAGCCCCTCAAGGTAAACTTCCCACAGGTATGAAGGATGTTATCACCTCACAGACTTTATCGTTTCCCAGTCCCCATCTGAATACCCTGGTGTTTACAAAGCTTGTGGTTATCACTTCATCAGGCTCCCCAACATACTGTAAAAAGCCTGCCAGGCACCCCCAGCTGCTGTTACCAGCTCAGAACCACAACCACTGAGGCAGTCAAGGTCAGGAAGCCCCGTGTCATCCCAAACCCCCATCTCCTATTCACGAACCACATCAACTTCCTGGCTAGGGCTAAGCACAATGTGGAAACTGATCCAGTGCATAATGAGGAGTTCTTGCCCAACATTTGTTTTTATTCAAAACAACTAAAGAGGCACTTTAACATTAGCAAACAGATTTCCACAAACACCTCATCTCATCAACACCACCCCATAGAGTAAGCATCAGCATTGCCTTCCTCATTTTTCACATGACAATGTGAACGGTCAAAGGGGTGGTGGGAAGAGAGGGGAAGCTGTCAATGTCACAGTGAAGTCAAGTCCTAACTGCACCAGTCTTTCAAAATGGAAGCCCTTGCTCCTCTGCCCAAACTAACTACATGGGCTCTCATGAGAGCTGTACCCATGTCCACTTCAGCCCCCTCACAGAGATGCTACACCTAGCAGAGCACCCTTCAGTGCACCCATTCATCACAGCTCCCTACTGCCTTGATTTGGGGCAGGAAGGTGGGGGGTGGGATCTGTGGAGGAATGACAGGATAAATATATAATAGATCTCAGAGAGGCTAAGGTGAGAAAGATGGGCATTCCAGAGCACTCCAGAACCAATGCAAACCAGAATGGCCCAAAAATATTAAAGACCTGGAGAGCCAGGGTGCTCTAGGCTAGAGCACTCTGTTTTTACTCAGGAGGAGAGCACGCTGTTTTTACACAGGAAGAATGGGAGCTACAGATGAAAACAAGGGAGATGTTTAAACAAAATCAGGGGACTTAGAACACATCTAAGATAAATGACTAGCTCTATAAGAGAACAACGGACATGAGCTTTCTTCCATAAAGTAATGTGGTTCTCCTAGACACAAAGCTGAGACTTTTTGTGATAGGATTTTACATTTCCTTCCTCCAAGGTCAAAATTCACCTTTTATACTTCTTCATCCCCTCTGTTTTTACTGAAGATTCACATCTTTTCACTTACACATTGCTACGTAACACTCATTTGCATATATCTCCTTTTGGGTACCTATTTAAATATGGTGCAAGCTTTCAAGGAAGGAACCATACCTCTTATTCCTTCTGTATGCACCAGAAAATCTGGAATAATACTTATTATTATGAAAGTCATCCTCTAAATATCACTGACTGATCAGGACATCACAGACTTATTTTAAATGAATTGGTGAGGCGCCTGGGTGGCTCAGTCGATTAAGCATACAACTCTTGATTTCAGTTCACGTCATGATCTCAGGGTCAGGAGATCCAACCACATAGCACTACGTTGGGCTCCACACTCAGCAGGGTATATGCCTAAGATACTCTTGCTCCCTCTCTCTCTGCCCGCCCCCCACACTTTCTCTCTCAAATAACTAATTTTTTTTTTAAAGG